CCTTCCCCCCTCTCCTCCCTCCTCTCCCCTCTCCCCTCTTCCCCTCTCTCCTCTCCCCTCTCCCCTCTCCTCTCCCCTCTGTTCTCTCTCTCCTCTCTCCTCCTCTCTCACAGGTAACTGGGCTCCTTTTCATCTTCCAGTCACAGATTCAGTGCCTTCCTCAGCGTCCCCCAAGCTCTGCAGCGTGACAGAAGGGAGGTGCGGTGACTGTCCGCAGGCAGGGAGGGTGAGCACCACTCTTACCACCACTTTTGGGAGTGTGTGCTGGGAGGTCTGTGGGCCCTCAGAAGGTAGTCATACACTTTGTTTGCACTGATGCTACCGTAACCTTTATCAGGCCATCATTTTTCTTGATAGACTAATTTTCCTAAAAGATATTTTTTTTGGTGGAAGCACTGAGACACAGTGACAGACATGATCATTAGAATTCTCAGGGAAAGTAGACTTAGTATGGACGGCAGCATTGGAAGGCCCCAATGTATTGTAAATACCAGCTGTCGATTGGAGTTACCATATTGTAGTGCAGATTCATTTCAATGTTTGCTTCCTGATGCAGACCTGGGAAGGAGGGCAGGATGGGACATGCGGAGACGAGAGGTGTTCTCCCTGAGACTTCTATGTTGACCGGCGTGAGAGCATCTATTGTGGTCTACTATTCTGAGAGCTGCTGCTGTTGTGTTTGGGAGCAAGACCCTGGGAGGAGCCTCAGCAGCTATAGACGAAATAGGAATGTCAGTTCCTCATCTGTAGGGCTAGTTCTGTTGGCACTTAGCAGTTAGAAAGTTTATTCCCAGTGACCTTCCCATTTCAGACCAGGTCGGGCAGAGTCCACACAGCGTTTGGAGGGCGTGGAGTTATCTTTTCTGTCTACTGATCTTGCTCACAGGATTATTTACTAGGTGAATCTTTTTTTTTTTTAAAGTCTGATTTTAACAGTTGGCGTTTTTGCAGTGGAAGTTCTAGTAGGAGTGCTAGAGCACTGCCTATTGTATGGTTTACTGTTTAGTGCAGCTGAGGCTGTCTGAGATTTTCCCAAGGCTCTGTTGCATTTTCTTTTCTATTCTCGTATTCTCAAAACCCCAAGATTTTCTTAATAATTAGTTCATTTACTCATTCTGTAACTGTTCATCGAGCTTCTGACCAGTGCTGGCACCTAGAGGCGACACGGTGTTCAGGATGGGGCAGGACATGCCATTACTGGATATCCCTTCACTGTGGCCTGGGATGGAGAACAAATTCCCTGTGCCACCTTCTCGTTGCCTAGAGGTGATGGAGGATGTGTAGAATGTGGCTTTCATGCCTCATTAGCCTAGGAGGTGCTGGACGTTATGCGCAAGACAGACACCACTCCCTGCCACCACAGAGCTTGTACTGTGGCGGGATCGCCTAACAGTAAGTGTCAGCCATCACATGGGGACACGATGCAGTAGATGGGTAGGAGGCCCTGCAATTGAGATGCACTGCTCAGCACATGACCCATTGGGTAGGTGATATTTGAGTAAGACTTGGCATGGCTAGGATAGGAGATGAGTGTGAGAGGAAGGAGTAGGTAGAAGCCTTAGGGCTTTGTAGCCTGTGCTGAGTATGTCCGTATCTGTTCTGGGGAAATTGGTGGTCAGATTCAAGTAGAGGAGCCAGGTGGTGTGATTGCTCTTTTGAGAAGACCAGCAGCTGCTGTGTTCAGGGTAGAGTCCACAGGAGCAGCAGCCTGCAGGCTGTGGGCAGTAGGCAGTGGAAAGTGCAGAGATGCCAACTGTGTTCTCAACATAGTGATGGGGCTTCTGATAAACCGCTTTGAAGTAAGAGACAGACAAGAGTGACCAGGGATGAGGCTTTGGGATCTTTGCAAATAGTATCTTTCTTGTAAAAATTTAATTGAGTTTACTCGTAGGATTGATTTCTCAGTTTGCTTTTAATTATGCTGATAATAAAAGTTTAATTTGAACATCACGAGACTTTGTAGTGGATGTTGTTGGCCCTTTATGTGTTCCTTAACTATGGTCTATTTCCTGTTCTTTTAAAAAAAGGTGTCACTGGGTTAGGAATTTAAAAGCATAATTTGTTTTCAATATTTAGTGAGAACAGTATAAGAACATCACCAACCTAGTCAGTACCCAGGCAAGCTGCTTGACCCTTCTCAACCTCATCTTCCCTTCTGTCAAAATGAGGCAGCAACTACTTCTCTGAGGTTGAGCTGCGGACTGAAGGCAGCTAGCTTCTGGTTTAGTCCAGGTTCAGGGACTCCTTTGACCGCTGGTGCTGCCACCTCCCTTCTCCTCTCCCCAGCTCATCTGCTCCTGCTGCTCAGTAGCCCCATGGTTCCTCAGGCTTCTGTAGCCACTGCTTCAGTCCCAGTGGGCACTGGGCTCTTTGGCCCACTGTAGAAATAAATGCTCTTTCATCCTGGGCCCTTGCACATTGGGAGGCAGGGATATTTGGGTAGTAAGTTACGTTAACAGGAAAGTACAGAGAAAGCCCCATCAATGGATCACAACAAACTGGGCTATCCCTGCCCTTCTCCCTCCTTGTTTCTCCTCCACATTGCCAGGTCTCAGTTCCAGCCCCTCACTACTTAAACCTTAGCTCTGTTCTTTTCTATAGCTCCAGCAGGTCTGGAACTTGCTATGTAGACCAGGTCAGCCTTGATCTCACAAGATCTGCCAGCCTCTGCCTCCCGGGTATTGGGGATAAGGGCACATCCCATGACACCCTGCCCATTTTTTTCTTTCTGCTCAGGGAATTGAGGCAGCTAATCTGGCTGGCTCAGAAATGGTTCCTGGTTGGGGTGGGTGGCACAGAAATCCTGGGTCACAGCCGGGCACGTGGGCGTCTCTCCTGACAGGACCTTGTCTCAGTGTTCTCAAGGTTGGAGGCAGTGCAGTGCTGCTCTGGCTTAGAAGATGGGGCATTGGGTCAGAGTATATGTGACCAGTAGGCGGAGCTTGCTTGTGGCCATGTAGACTCACTTGTGGCTTGGATGAGTTGTGCGGCTGTTGGTGATGGCTGAGGTTAAACTCGAAGCCATGCTCATGTGGTGAGGCGGATGGCTGCCTGGCTTGCTGTGCTGCTGCTTTCAGGAGTGTAGTTGTCCCCCACAGGGAACCTGCCTCCTCCAGAATGGCACTGCTGAGCATGTGTTCTGTGGGCTCTGCTGCTTCTGTTTGCTCACCGTGTTTTCCTGGAGCCCTTTTCCCCTAGTGTTGCTTAGGGTCAGAGTTCATGCTGGGGAATTACGTGTTCTGGAGGCTCAGGAGAGGCCACAGGAGCTCGGGCAGGTAGAGCCTAAGTAGAGCCCAGAGGCAAGGGAATCCACCATTGCAGGTGACGCTGGGGCACAAGCAGGCCTCCTGTTACCAGCATGTACTCAGGTCTTGTTATCAGCATGTGCTCAGAAATTAAAGCCTTGACCATTTGCACAGTAGGTGAAGTGCTTGAGGTGGGCTTTGTCTGTGGGGTTGTATGATTGAAGAATCACCACATACTGGAGAGCTAGATTGTGCAGGGCTTCAGTGTGCACGTCATGTATTTCAAGAATAAGCCACCGGGAGCTACTTACTACCTGCTGCTCAGGTGGAATGTGTTCAGATATCTGGAGTTTGGTTATGACATTGACTGGCTCTCAGTTTGAATGGAAAAAGTAAGTAGCTTTGCATTTTCCAAAAGCTGCTGATGCAGATTGAGTCTTCTGCCTACTTCATCAGGGTGACTGCGTTATCTTTTGAGGCTAGAAAAGAAATCTTGTATTTTGAATCCCTCATTCCTTAAGCAAATTTGGCCTCCTTAAATCTTGGTTTTATGTTTTCTCGATGGTTTATGTGTCCTTACAGGCATATTGTGAGAGCATCAGTCAGAAACATCTTATTTCAGAGATGTTTGGACTCATACAGGTTTTTTTTCTTTCCTCCCACATACTTGCTTTTGATATTGATTATGGCTGTTTTTTCTATAATTAATTCTATTTCATTGAGTTAGATATTTTTAGCCTAAGACCAGAATTAGACTGGTAAAGTGCCAAAGGCATGCTTTTGAAGACAGGAATTGTTTAGGAAGGTCCGCATGATCTGGGTCAGACTGGATTTGCAGCATACTCAGTTTTAGAGCCGACTGTCATTTTGTAAACAGAAGTCTGCCAGGTGAACTGAATGGAAGGGCGAGATGTGCGTATCCAGAAGGCGCTGGCCCCTGGCCTCCTTCTCCTCCCATTCCTCCTTCCTTGTGTCTCCTTCTCCTTGAATGAGTGTAGGACACAAACCTACAGGGTCCCATGACTAGCTGGTTCTATTCTGTTCAGTGGCTTAATCTGGCCAGGGCGATCTGTGTTTCAGATTGCAGAAGCAGAAGATTCGGTAGCTGCTAGTCCTCAGTCGAGCTGCCGGAGACTAATTCAGAAGGCGCGACTCCCAGATTTTGCTTCAAACTCCAAAAAGGGGAGCACACAGGGGAAGCTTAGTCTTGCTTTGGAGCCAGTCAAATGCTGTTGGGAGTCATGAACTGGGACTTTGTGTGCGGACTCCTGGCTTGATCTTGATAGGATTGGATGTATGTTGCTGGACCGGGCAGGCCAAGAGGCCCTGAAGCCTGCAGGTCCCATCTGTATGGAGAAAAGCGGCTGTGGTCCTTTTCCAGTGTGTTGGCCTAAAGGTATAGCAACTTAAAGATCAGTTAAGTTTGTGTTTTATTTAAATCTATGCTAGAGTTACAGTTAAATTTGAGAAAAAAAATTGTGATACAGGTTTACAAGTGCTGCATAAAACAGGTTAGGTAGCTTTGCAAGTAGAAAATCAAAATGTTTGAATGGAAATGCATTTAAGTGAGCTAAATTGTCTTTCTGTGCTGTCTTATGCCTCTTAAATCTTTTATTATTGTTTATTTATTTATTTTTTTACTTAGGGAATCTGTATTCTGTGCTATGGAAGGTTTTAAAGAACAAAGTGGTTAATTTTAACTTCAGAGGACTGAAAGAAAAAGGAGTAACGTGGGCTTTGTTATTTTACAGATGGGCTTCCTTTATTCTGTATAAAATTATGTATTTAATTTGAGGCTCTGTATTATTTTGAGTTTATTACCATGGTTGAAAATGCTGTAAAATTTTTTCCACTAAATGTTGTTAGAAATTATATTCATGCAGAAATGTAAACATAAAGTATAGTATTTCATTTTAGCATTCCAGGTAGTCTTTAGAAGTTTAAAAAGCTGTAAAATTAGTGCACAACTCAAGCCAAGTAAATTCAGCTTAAAGTAGCTTTGCTTAGGTAGTGAGTATTGAAGTGGTTAACATGCTTCTTCATGAAGAATTTGATAAAATTATTGTTGCTATGTAAAATATATTTAGATACTGTGCTAATCTGCTTAGGAAGGACTTCAGAAGGAGGAACGTGTACCTGGGCAAGAACTGCACTTCTGTAAATGGAACTCTGGCCTGATTCAATTTAGTTTTTAGGTTAAAAGTATTAGTACTGCTAGGCTAGGATGTTTTAGCACCAAGCCAATTTTCAACATTAGTTTTCAGTGGTAGAGTTGTCTCTGTTATTTGTTAATACCTTTTTTAGCTTTTGCGTAAGAGCATGAGATGTTAGAACTTTATGTAGTATGGTGGTACTGAATGAAGCACCTGTCACCTTGCTGCGTAGAATTTAGAATAAAGATTTTGCCCTGTTAACTGGAAGCTCTCAAAGGACTGACTTCTTAGGACTGCAGTTTCTTGGCATAACTGAACCTAACTAGTAGGGGATGCTCCGAGGCAGAGTTCAGTGCTGATGGCTTCATAGGTTGTGTACATGATGCTGCCTTCATTGTGTGATAGTACTGGTATTAACATAAAGCCTAAGAGCTGCAAACCCTGCAGCATAGGGATGCTGAAAGTTCAGCAACTGGATTTCTTATTCTAAGTGACCTTAGAAATGAGAGCTTTGGCAGAAAGAGATAGCAAGTAGTGTTTTGGCTTACCGCAAAGAAACTGATCAAAGCAACTTACTTTCTTTTTTCTTTTTCTTTTCTTTTCTTTTTTTTTTTTTTTTTTTTTTTTGAGACAGGGTCTCCTTGTAGCCCCAGCTGTCCTGGAACTCACTATGTAGACCAGGCTGGCCTTAAACTCACAGAGGTCCACCTGCCTCTGCCTCCTGAGTGCTGGGACTAAAGGCGTGCGCCACCATGCCCGGCTGATCAAAGCAACTTACTTTTCAAGTGTTTGAAGACTATCAGAGAAAATATGAGTAGCTCAATTGTAGTTAAAGCATGCATTTTGGTAGAGGGCAGATTGAAAAGGGAGCAGTGTTCTCAGTGCCAGAGAATGGGAAACAGGGATGCATGAAGGGACACTGTGGGCCCCATTTCGATGGCCAGAGCAAGCCACCCCCTCGGCAGGATGGTTTCAGTGAAGGAGCTTGTGCCTCTGTGGTGTGAGCACAGTGCCTTCCACTTGATCACTTGCTCAGTGTAGCTGTCCTTCACCTTCCTGTGTCTGTTCATTTACTCTCTTGCATCTAGACAGGAAGAAGACCTGTCTCCATGCTTGTTAATGTTGTCTTCATAAGAATAAAGTTTTGGTGTGTAGGAATTGGGCTGAATTGGTCATTTCAAGTATAAGAGCTATAAATGTGTAGTTAAGGACAAAGTAGAAAGCTCAGGTCCAAAGAATGTACAATTCACTGTTTGTAGGTAGACATTCTAAACCGTGCATTTGATCCTATCAGTCACATTAACCTCAAAACACATAGCAGTGTCCCAGTTTTAAGAATACATAAAATTCTTACCAGGACAGGCTAAAAATAGAAGAACAGACCTATATTTGTATACTTTGAATTGAATCTTTAAGGTAACCTTAAAACTCTTGGGGTCCTGTCTTTGATACTTTAGTGTACTACTGAATTTGGTTTGAGGAATCTGCCTTATATCTATCTCACTCAAGAATATTCTAATTTATTTATTTTTATTTATTTATTTGTCTGTTTTCTTTTTTGGTCTTTTTGAGACAGGGTCTCCCTGTAGTGGGGTGGGCCTGGAACTCACTCTGTAGACCAGGCTGACCTTGAACTCACAGAGAGCCGCCTGCCTCTGCCTCTGCTGGCATTAAAGGCGCATGTCACCATACCTGGCTTATTCATTTTTTTAATACATAAATTTTACTTTATTTGTCTGAATGTTTTACCTGCATGTATGTGTGTATAATAACCATGGAGGTCAGAAGAGGGTGTCAGATCCCCTGGAACTGGAGTTACAGACAATTGTTAGCTGCCATGTGGGTGCTGGGAATTGAACCTGGGTCTTCTGCAAGAGCAGCCAGTGCTCTTAACCACTGAACCATCTCTCTAGTCAGAAGATTCTATTTTAAAATATTTAAAGATTTTGTTATAGTATGTGTCGTGATTTCCTATGCTTAAAGGCATTGTAATTGAGAGTATTGCTTGGACGTATTCTCACTGTACTTAGGGTGCAGGACTATTGGGTGGGGAAAGCCCTGCTTGTAGAGTTTTCTGTTTATCAGTTGTGCTCTGTGCTGTTATTTTAAAAGAAGGGCTACAATTACTAAAGTGGTCTCAGAGGTTTGGTTATTAGGAGTAATAATGTGTTTTTTGGTTTATTTCTTTAATAGTAGAGATTGAATATTCTATTGAGTTTATTTGTATACTTCTGACCCCTGTGGTTGAAGTCACACCTACTCTGTATAAGAATTTTAAATCCCATCTGTCCATCAGTCTTTGCTTATTCCCCCCCCCCCAATGAGAATTTTATGCAAAGAATTACTAGCTTGGTCTAAAATTAAGTAGATATTTGAAAGGGTAAACATTTAAAATTTTATGCTGGGCGTGGTGACGCATGCCTTTAATCCCAGCACTCAGGAGGCAGAGGCAGGCAGATCTCTGTGAATTCAAGGCCAGCCTGGTCTACATAGTGAGTTCCAGGACAGCTGGGGCTATAGGGAGACCCTGTCTCAAAAAGACCAAAAAGAAAAAAGATTTAAATTTTTAAGAAGTTAAAGCAGCAAAAGACTAAGGAAAAGAAGGGTGGAACTTGGAACTGTTGACATTTAGAGATATGGAAGAGCCCCATGGAGCAGAAATTCTGAGGTCTGAGAAGCTGCTGTTTATGACGCTGGTGAACATGGAGGAGGAGTCCATGAGCCTAGGGTACCAGCTGCCTCTCATGGTGCCCAAGTTTACTTCAAAGTGGAAAAACTGTTAACTGGAGGCCAGGAGGTTTCCCCAGGGCCATCAAGGCCACCTGCTAAGCAAGGGAAGTGCAGTTGTCAAGGCAGAGATGGCAGAGATGATGGTCCAGGTGCCCCGTACTAGTGAGAATCCACTGGAGATACACTGCAAGTCCATTGATGTGCACTGCAAGGCCACCGGAAAGTTCTGGACACTGGACTGAAATGAACAGAATGGTATAATTCCTCTCTTCCCCAGCAACCTGGAGCCTCCCTTAGTGTTCTCTGCTGGCAGAGTTACCATGTGATTCTGACCAAGTATAGATTTGAGAGGTTTGAGCTGAGTAGCAAAAACCTGGTCATTGGAGTCCTGGCATGAGGCATGGCAGTGTCCTCGGTAATACTGGAGACTGGATTAGAGTGTTGCTCATGTCCCTCCTACTCTTACCACATCCTCTGAAGAGGTGACCCACATTGCTGATAGGGAATCGGGACGCAGACCGCTCTGGCTTCTTTCATGAACAGGGATCCAGGGTGAGGCAATTGGGGTACCCCTTCAGTGGGTCTATCTAAAAGACTCCCAAATTGCATGACTCTTATCTGTAGGGAGAAAAGAAAGCCCTTGACTGGTGAATAGAGGATGTGAAGGAGAAGTAAAGGCAGGAGTAGTTAGCATCACAATTTCTAGACGGTTAACCAGAAAAACATCAGAACAGGGCAAATTTCAAATATTCATATGAGAGTCCATTGGGATTTCTTGATGAGAGCTTCCAAAGCATCCCTCTATTGGGCTCCTCTTCATTTTTCTTTTGTCTTCCAAGGCTGGACTCTAGAGTGATGGATTCAGGATTTGCTTTCAGGTATTTTGATAGCTGTTGGAGTGGTTAGAGTCAGTGTCAGTTCCCTCTCAAAGGCTTCTAGATAGGATCAGAAAACAAAATTATCCATCATTTTAGAACAATAGCTGGTTGTCTCCCTTAGCTATGGGTGGGCACTACAGTATTGGAGACCAAGATTTGAAGTCTGACATCTGAGCAGCACTATCTGGTTAGGAACAAATCAAAGACAAGATCATCAATGAGAAATAATTGTCTAAATAACTTTTTATATGGACTTAAGCCTAATGTCTAGGAAGTGTAATCCCTTGAGCTCTTAAAGAAATATACTAATGACTCTACTCTTTGGTTATACTTTGCTTTTGGGTGTTTAAGACCGTACAGTTGGCCCAAATAAATCAATTTATGTTGACACTTAAGGTCGTTTGAGGATCTGTTCCTCAGGGGTCACATGGGCTTGGGAGGAGCCCCTGGCTCCTTGCTTTTACCAGTTCCATCTATATGAAGGTAAGTCAAAGGTCCTGCTTGACCATGTCTGGCTTCACTTGGAAGCATGGATGAGATGTTTCCCCTGAGTTGACCCATCTCTTCGTAGACTGGACATTGGTTCAAGTCCATCTCGTGGGGTCTCCATGTCCTCCCTGAACAACAGGACAGGT